CCCCGTGCATGCAATGATATGGCTTTAGTCCTTCAACTTAAGGATGCAAATGGCCACGTCATACTTAATACAATGTAACAGGGCACACTGTTCTTTTCTTATAATGAATACTTCAGCTTCTGTTTACATGTGGGCCGACCTTCCTAAGCAATCACTTCCGGTGGTGGACCATCAGATTTTTACAGAGATCGAGCACCCCATATAGACCTCTTCGCTTCCGCCGACAAAACCTAATCTCCTGAAGTTCTGCTCCAGGTTCCCTCACCCACAGGCATGGGCGACAGGTCCCCTACAGTTCAACTGGTCGGGTCTTCTGGCGTATGCCTTTCCTTCAGTATCCTACTCGTCCTGTCCACCTCATCGCTCCGTTCTGGCTTCACCAACTGTGGTTTCCAACACTGACCAGACTCCTGGTACGACGGCCGCTGGTCCTTCCAGTCAGGGAGGACATCCTTCATCAACCCAAGACAGGGATCCTCCACCCAGCACCGAAGAATCTTCACTTGACATGCTGGACATCGTCCAATGATCCTATTTCAGGGCGTCGGACCTTTCTGCAGATGCTGCGTCCATGGCGGCCCAGGGTAAATGATTGGCAAAATTTTTAACTCGGGCCTCCAAATCGTCACCATCGCGACATAGCCTCACTTTATAGAGATGACTCTGACAAGAGATGGAGTCCAGTCTGGACTCTCAAGTGGTATCTTGCCAGGACCGAGCATCACAGAGAATCTAATCCCCCGCTCTTTATCACCACAACGAAACCCTTTCATCTGGCATCGAAGGACACTACAGCCCGATGGACAGTCTCAGCCATTATCTTTGCTAATCGAGACTGGCCGGCACAACATGATGAGACAAAACTATCTCATGTCAGGGCCCATGGCGTGTGGGCCACCTCTGCATCCTGGTCGTACTTCAGAGGAGTTTCTCTATCTGAAATTTGCCAGGCGGCTGGTTGGAAATCTCCCTTTACCTTCACCGAGTGCTGCCTGAAAGACGTTCTGCAGAGCAAAAAAGCCCATGGCAGAGTGCCCCTGTACTCGGCAGTCCGGACAATGTCCTGCACTGTTCCGGGCCGGTTGATGGATACCTCGACTTAGCAGTTTTCTCCTGGTGAGTGCTCGCTCTTGCTACACCCGCCTTATGTTCCTTTTAGTAACTGCACTCCCGTCGCCGACCCACCTACGGATCAAGATTCTTGAAGGCCTTCAGACACTGTCCATTAAAGACTGCATATCATAACATGTAAAAAGATGTCAAGAATGCAACTTCCAGTAGGCCTACGAAGGCCACATGTACAATTCATTTTATTCCATTTTCATGCTGAATTCTGTGAAATGAATTGATAGCCTCTATAGGGGACATAATGGCCATCAAACTGGTAACCAGGTATTCAAGAACTGACTGGGTTTAGATGAACTAAGCCCTCCTCCCAGCCACCTTTGAAACATGCCAACTTCAAATGAATAGAAAAATGTTTTTATGGTACAAACATTTTCTTATTTTTTGAAAGACTTTCCTTTCGATCGAGGAAAAAATACTACAATCGTCTGTTGAAGACTGGTGTTAAAGGTGTTATGAAAGCGAATAGTAGGGTCCAAGTTAGTTAGTTAGCACTGCTGACTGCCTGTTATTTCAAGGTTACTTTTAGACAGAAAATAATGTTTACGTGAACACTTGTAATTACCGTCAGACTGTACACCATGTATGCAGACCGCATAGCCAAGTACATGTAAAACAGAAACCCAAACCCTTTTTCCAAACTAATTCTGGTGAGGGTATTAAAGTAAAATCTTTCTGTTCACTGAATTCCATACCTAAAATGTTCGAGCTTTATCCTTGGCAATGCATGGGTAGGCCTATTGTAACTTAAGTTAAGGCCAAGCCTGAGCATGTGGTCTGGAAAGTTGTTGCAGTTAACGATGCAGCCCGTCACCGCATGGAAGTAAACTTACAAGGAATACGTTACTCACCGGATGTGTTTATCAAGCAGTGATAAATGTCGGGATATGCTTCATCTGGCAGCTCTTTGATACTACAGTCTATCGCTGCCTTTACATCTTTAAGACATATCAGGTAGGGATCGACCCCAACACAACTTGTTTTATCCAAGTATCGTGCTTTAGCTACAGAACTGAGGGATTTCACGCAATCGCACAAAAGATATACCGTCATTTTTATGGTGATACATGTACAAAACTGTTTAAGTTACGATACAGCCCTTCGACGTACGTACATGTACGTACTGATCACCAACATTGCGGTGTCAAAGTTCCCACGACAGATGACATCACTCGCACAAGACCTATAGGTGAAACTATACTGTAGAGTGACTTCATGATGTCATTACCTGATATTTAAATTGTTGTTATTGTCCTTATTGTAATGTCTTTTCTAACCTATTTTCTTTTTCTTCTTCTTGTTTATTTTCACATTATTTGAAGTCAAATCCACTTCACACTTTGCATATCAGGTTGAGGCTGGTAAAACTTTTATCCCCTGTATTGATATTATGATGATGTGATCCTGTATATTTTGTAGAAATTCATATTTTTGTGTGAAACCCATTTATACATATATGGCAAGTGCATTAAAAGCTTAGAATGCCGAAAAGCCCTGTTCTGTTACAAACAGACATAGAACATGAAGTTCTTATATTGTTGAGGTTAAAAGTGGGTATCACACAAATGTTGACTGCTTCAAGTTCTATAGTAAAACTAGTCTCCTTATTTCAAGTGGTGTGTAAAGTATTTTATTTTCTAACGGTGACACACATGTATTGTGCCACTAGTTATAAATGTTAATCACCCATAGCTTCAGTACAGTGTAAGTACATGTACATGGTTTCAAAGATCTTATCCTCAACTTCAACTTGATAGAAAGTTGTATACATGTATTCCCCGTCATACAAACATTGGAAAAATATTCACAGTGTCAAATGGTATGCTTTTCAGACCAAGGTGGTCTGCTGTTGTTTTTTTTGGGGGGGGTTGTTGTATACAGTAAAGTAAAAATAAATACCGTGTGACATGCTCCCAGCTACTGGAGAGAGAGAATCTGTGAGGTTTCATTAACAACTATTTGGTCATGCGTTAAATGAGGGAGTGTGTGAGAAAATCTTTGTCAGTATTTCAGAAGTCCAGTTATTATATTTTGCAGGTCATGGAAAGTCTCGATGTTAACATACTGATGTTTATCCCTACGGTTGCACTGGGAGTAGTTGGTGGTTTGCTTGGAGGATTGTTCGTCTTCATGAACTTAAAGCTGGCAAGGCTTAGAAGGGCCATTATTGCTAAAGCTAAACAACAGTGGAAGAAGAAAGCTCTAAAGATTCTTGAACCTTGCTTCATCATAGTAAGTGTTTAGTGGAGGTCTGTCTTTATTTCTTGTTGCTTTTGCTTCCTTTCACCTTGTTGTCAGCTTCGTACCTAATGCATGTTAGTGTCAGTACCTTTAAGCTGTGTATGCGTAAATACTATTACCATGATCATGATATTGAAGACTCAAGATGTCTTCTTAACGTTCTTTTCTGGCCATAACACCCACCTACCAGTATGTATTATGTTGTAAGGTGATCCTAACAAGCATTAAATCAAATTAGTGTGTGGCACACATAGTGTTTGAAAAAAAGAATAGTATGCTATTGATTCATTGCCAGCTGCCACAACTACCTGTTTGGCGTCATGTTTTGAGGCGTATGTTTGTTTATTTGTGCTACAAATTTTGGTTTCAAAATTAATTTTCCTAGCAGAAAACAGTATCATGTCTTCGGTAAAGATATTCAGTGGGGCACAACTTCACAATAGGGGCAGTCTTGATCTACATGGTTAATTTAGATGTGTGATGTCTGCATTCACACAGATGGCTGCCTGCTGTGCCAGAAATTCAGTCGGTGGCAGTGGTGTAACTACAAGGACGGGAGGAATGTGTCAATTTGGAATTTTTGAATAATTTCCGTTGTAATGCAGCTGTAGCTTATTTTCTTGTGGTGCCCCCAAGAAAAAATGTTTGCACCCCGGGTTACCCCCTCCCCCCAGAAATTTAGCCTAGTTATGTCACTGATTGGTGGAAACATAGATGTATGTGCATTTTTACTGAATAGACCAATTTAGTGATGACATTATGATTTGTTTACATGAATCTGTGGTCTCCACCTGGCTCCTTTAGGAAAGTATGCCTGAAAACAAAATGTGACACCATCAATAAGTACACGCTGAAGCCTTACAAATAAGTTTGGCCAGTCTTTTGTCGGGCACTTTGGCTGCTGGCTGCATGGACTGAAGTTATCGTTAATCCCTACTGGCTACCCCTAAAATGTTCATATTTTGTTCTGCTTTAAATTTTGGTTTATAAACATAAATTTGCAACTCAAGCTGCTATTTGTAATATGCGGGGTTCTTGTATGGGAATAAGTTCATCAACGATCTCTCTTTGAAGCGTTTAACATGTTTAATTTTGTTCGTAGATTTTTATTGATAAAAGATGTATAAATACAAAACATTGTAGAGATCTGTTTTTGATTAGTGTGAAACAGTAACTTATCTTAATAACTGAGAAATGTAAAAAGAGGATTGCATTGAAAGGGAAGCTATACTGATTGGGAACACAACTATGCCGAGGCAATGCTGGTGCTCGCATGTGTGGTAAGTAATGATTGCGCACAAATCATGCTGTTGATTGGCCTTTCCTTTTTTATTTGTAAACCAGTAGACTGACTGAAGTAGACTGAATTCATAATTGGCAGTGATGAGTTGAATTTTAGAGCAATGGACAGATAGCTAGACTGTGTCGACTTAAAAAAAAATCTCCTAATCTATTCGGTTGGGGAGGAGATGTTATCTTAAAACCCTCAGCCTCATGTGGGCCTACATCAAACAATTTGAACTTTCACGTGCAGTTGTTTGGAGTCCTCTGTGATCATAAGTGCCTTCCAATATTTTTGTCAACGTTTTTCGTCAGTGAAGAAATGTCACCAAACATTTTTGTCAGTGGCCTTAAAATTCATTGGCTTGGGGGGTTATTTGTGCCAGTGTGTTCTCAGTCTCTAAAATAAAATGTATGGGGTATAACTTTTAAAATGGGACAGATCAACAAATATGAGTAAATTGCTTGCAACAGAAATTTGCCAAAGCCTTGCTGGATAATACCCCCTCCTCTTCGACACTTAAAAGCTGGATACCGTTGTCGGGAGCCCTTAACATTTATTGAATTTTTTGGTAACCTGTTGTCAGTCTATTTTTAAGTCCACCTGTTGACAAATAAGACAAAGGCTCGCAATGTAAATGCTGAAAAAATGGCTAGGATTTGTACAAATCCTAAATTTTAGCTTCCCTGTGGTAGACTCAGCTGGTATGTAGGTGACTAGACCAACTGTCACCAACGTCGCACTCCACAGCCTCTCCCCTGGCCCAATGTTGTGTGTACTCTGCACGGAGATCAATGGTACTTGGGGCTGAGAACCACATTGTGCATGCTTTATGTGCATGTACGCAGCTCGGAATCTTGTACGCTGAGTAGTTGTGTGCGCACACTGCACGAATGCACTGGCGTGACTGGAAAATGGCTGAAAACAGTCAACAGCAATGGCAATAATTAATGTTACTTCCAAGTTTATTTTCTTGTTTTTGGCTTTTTTGGCGATGTCAAATTTCTTAGTCTCCTGCATTCATATACCCCTGCACAGCCTACATATATGCAAATTTCCCATGTGCCTATTACAATTCGCTGAAAAGACTTGATTATGCATTCTGCCCCTTGACCCTCCACAATGCACTGTGGTCCCAACGCCACGTTCATCCTTTTTTTCTCAGCGCCTGTCATTTACGGATGTGTCCTAATGGCATTTTTGGAGTTTTGAAAGCTTTCGTGTTTGTTAATTGACTTGATTCCTATTTACGAATGTAGAGTGATTCCTTATCTATTTGTAAGAGTGCTTGTTTTGTATTTTTGTCGTTCTTCTGCCCCTTTTTTCTGTGCATTATCTACAGGTTTGGGTGTGACCTACCATGCTATGTGTTGTGTATGGTGGTTGAACAGGGCTCATGGGCAGCCCCTTGTTCTCAATGTGGTGTGTGTGTTCGAATAATAACGGCCCTAAGCTGGATATGGGTCTGTCTGTGGAGTGGGGCTTGGCGGGCTGCCCCACTCCTTTGTGGTGCGGTTTTTGTGTTATCCAAGATCAACGGCCACGTCCGGGAGAGACTCAGTGCAATGAATGGGCCAGGGTAGAGTGAGCAGTTGCCACAACACTACCCCGGACCCTTATCTACATTGGTCTGGTTGAGTGAGTGAGCAGTTGCCGCAACACTACCCTTGATCACTGATGACTACTCAGTACACCTACCGACTGGGCTGAGTGTGCTGTGCCGCAACACTACCTGTGGTCGTCGACACCCACTCCACAAATCTACAGATCGGGATGAGCGTGCTATGCCGTAACGGTACTCTTGATCACGGTTGACCAGAGCATAAGGAGCTGTTCCTTTCTCTATGCTGCAGGTACTGGGTGTCGCTACCTACCACATCCACGAGTGACCCTACTGGCTGTTAGCCCAGCAGGGCTCGTGGGGTGACGGTCTGCCATCTGCCCCGGGTCTTTCACTGGCTTCTGCTCGCCAGGCAGCATCCGCTCGGAAGCCGGGCCAGTCAACCCCTTTCAAGTGAGCAACGTGTTCCACAGTGGGTTTGCCATGCTCTACTGCTTCTGCAACAGCACTATGCCTGCCATTGCATCAGACGATGTCATTCCTTTTGGACTGCTTTGCCACTGGGGCTTTCGTCCGCCACTTTCATCCGCAGCTCCAGTCTGCTGGTGGACTCCTGCCATGAGGCCACCGATCCTGACCTGGGACGCTCTCGCCCGCAAGATAGACTCCAATCCTCAGCCAGCAGCAACGGCACCCGACCCAGATCCCCTCCTGGCCATCCCTCCTCCCTCACAAGGGGCGTTCTCGGAGGCTGAAGTGGTTTCTGTTGTCCAGCCAGATCCGTTCCCCCAGTGGGATCCAGCTCTGGATCATGTCCCGGATCGTGGCGACTCTTTCTGTTTGGGGCGAGTAAACTTACTCCTTTACCCCAGTTCCTGTGCTCTGAAGTCCTCTAGCGGGCTCCCTACTACCAGTGCCTCCCATGGAAGATGTGTATTCATCAGTATGGCTCACCAGTCTGCACACTGAGGCGGCCCCACATTTCCTGGACCAGCTACAATGACCGCGGCACACCATGAACTACAGCTGTCAGACGAACTTCACAGTGATTCACTTAGGCGTGACTTGGAAGTTACAATGCCTCGGGCCTCGGGCCCCATTGTTCCCGGGGGGGCAGCCCATTCTGAGGGGCCACCTAACTATGCGAGCTTCACCAACCACTTTTCAGGCTACAGAACTGCATCATTACTGTGGTTCTTGAACGCCACTCATCACTGCAGCTTCTGGCTACTGGCTAGGACTATCCGACCAGGTTGCTTCCGTCACAGCTCCCCAGTGGCTCAGCCCGCTTCGACCCATCACGACCTGTATTCCAGACATGCTGCTGATGCCCCGGGTTTTTAGGTTCTTACTTCATGTTCTATGGCTAGATCACCGCCCGTAAGAAGTGTAAACACTCATCGTCTTCTGCAGGGTCCAAATGCAAGAAATCTTGCCTCTACGCCTGGGTAAGATATTTCTTTTTTGGGCTTGATGACAGTGGTCTGCTCTCTCGGAGACGCTGCCCACTTTAGCCAGCTGCCTTGAGTCAATCTCTGCCCTGGACCTGGATGCCCTTTGTGAGGATCCCCACCTAGATTTGTAGCCAGCTCCGCTTCCAACTTCACTTCAAGTTGCATCTCCGGCTTCACATCTGGCTCCGTTGGTCTGTCTCATACACAATGGCGCCCATTCGTTTTATGCATGTATTTTTTAATTGATTTAACCCCTTGATGACAGGAATTTCTTCCCGAAAGCCGACTCCAAGAATTCCAGCCTCGCTTGGCCATGAAGGCCACCTGCCAAATCGCAGTTTCTCAGTTTGTGGCCCTGAGTGCTCTGCACGCTTTGAATTACACAGTGAAAAGGCTGATTGTTCGATAGCATGCGGCTCTACTCAAGCTTCCATATTCCCGTTGCCTCTTTTCAAAGTGGGGACTATTGTGAAGCTGGTGATTATTATGCAAATTCAGTCTTTTCATTTCTTGGCTACACACAAAGACCAATTACCATATATACAAGAGCCAGGGTCTGCCTTCTTTCACCGTGTTTGCTCGAGAGTGGGCTGAGAATAATAGCTGAAAAGCGGGCTGAGGATCTCAATTTTTACGGCGGCTCTATCCGCGTCCCGGCGCGAAGGGGTTAATAAATTAATTTAATAATACTAAG